CCCCCTCTTTATGGCCTTGACATATGGATCATCCCCATCTACAGCTTTCCACAGAGCATCCATCTTCTCTTGGTGTCGATCCTCTTTCGACCACTGGATGGTTTCCTTGTCCCTTGAATCATCCTCTTCCTCCTCCTGGTCCTCGTAATTTTCTTCGTCCTCCTCATCCCCCACCATTGCCTTCCTTTTCCCCCTCGACTGACCAACAGCATCATCCCTGTCACTCCCATCCCCGTCGGCATGCTCCCCGTCGGCGTTCTCCCACTCTGCATCCTCATCCATCTCAGCTGTAATGACCGCTGGTGTCTTGATCACCTTCCGCGAATGGGGGACTTTCTTCTTTTTCTTCGTCTTCTCCGCCTCCTCCTCATAATCGGATTCCAACTCCCCACTTGACTCGTCCTCGATGGCCTGATAGGTCTTTGCTGACCGCGACGCATGACCTGTGGACCTGGGCGCTTCCTCTCCACCAGGAGGGGCTTGTTTGTTGACGGGGTGTGGGACCTGGCATGACGGCGGGTTGGAACGACCAGTTTGGGGTTTATTGACAGCGGGCCCTTTGGCTGCGGGACGGGCGTTGTCAGATTTTGTCAGGGAGCCTGCCTGTTTGCCCGTCGGAGGCAACATCGCGAAGCTGCAGGGGTCGGGGTTATGGTTCCTCTGGTTGGCCTTCATGCACAATTCCTCGACTTTGCGGTGTAGAGAGGGTGGGCAGTCCGTTGAGGAGAGTTGAATGAATGGGTCGGCGAGGATGGATTCGCCATCTTTCAATTGTGGCAAGACGTCGTCCAATGCGTTGAGCAGCGCGTCAATGCCAGGAGTGGGTACGTCCTTGTCCTCCAAAAGACTGACAACGCCACTCTGGAATATATTGATGTCAATTGGGAGAGTTTGTGTGAAGAGTTTGACTTACCCCAGCCTGACATGTAGCAAGCATCTTCTCTCTCTCTATGTAGTGGCCTGGTCCCACAGCTAACATGTCGACGAAAGCTGTATAAAA